AATGCTGAACTTAAGGGTTTAGATGTAGACTCTCTAGTCATAGAGCACATCCAAGATGCGGCGCAGAACTTACAGAGCTCACGGACGGATCAACCCCTACATGAGCTCTCCCTGCCACATTGAGATGATCCTAACTGAAAAGGAACAAACTGTTCCTAAACCAGAAGAGGAGGTTGCACAGAAGAAAAAGATCTCCCAGAAGAAACTGAAGAAACAAAAACTTATGGCCCGGGAGTAAATTCAACATCAAATAAATGCTAATAAAAGTAAAAGTAAAAAAAAAGAAATCCCTTTACCTTTTCCCCCAGCTCCCCAATCCCCTCTCACCTGGCAACCATCAGTTTGTTCTCTGTATCTATGAGGCTGTTTCTGTTTTGTTTGTTTGTTTATTTTGTTCTTTAGATTCCACATATAAGTGAGATCATATAGTATTTGTCTTTATCTGTTTGATTTAGCACAATACCCTCTAGGTCCATCCACATTGTCGCAAATAATAAAATTTCATTCTTTTTTTATGGCCGAGTACTATTCTATTGTATATATGTACCGCCTCTTCTGTATCATTATAATTGTCTATTGATGGGCACTTCGGTTACTTCCATATTGGCTATTGTAAATAATGCTGCAGTGAACATAGGGATAGATCTATCTTTTCAAATTAGTGTTTTGGATTTCTTTGGATAAATATCCAGAATTGGAATTGCTGGGTTATAAGGTAGCTCTATTTTTAAATTTTTGAGGAACCTTCATATTGTTTTCCATAGTGGCGGCACCAATTTACAATCCCATCCCGTGCACAAGGGTTGCTTTTTCTGCACATCCTTGCCAGCACTTGTTTGTTGATCTAATGATGATAAATCAACATGACAGGCATGAGGTGATATCTCATTGTGGTTTTAATTTGCATGTCTCTGATATTAGTGATGTTGTGCATCTTTTCATATGTCTATTGGCTATCTGTATGTCCTCTTGGGATGAAATGTCTGTTCAGTTCCTCTGCCCATTTTTAAATCAGATTGTTTGGGTTTTTTGGTGTTAAGTTGTATGAGTTCTTTATACATTTTAGATATTAACCCTTCATAGGATGTATCATTGGTGAATATCTTCTCCCAGTCAGTAGGTTGTCTTTTATTTTGTTGATGGTTTCCTTTGCTGTGCAAAAATGTTTTAGTTTGATATAGCACTTAGGTATTTTTTTATGATCAAAACATCCTGTGTAATTACTTTCTGCTACTGAGCTTGTCAGGCTTGCCAAGGTAGCCCCTTTTTGTTCACATGGCTTGGAAGGAGGGACAATTTGGCAAGATCTGTTAAAATTTACAATGGGCATCCTCTTTGATCCAACACTTCCACTTCTGGGTAGCTATTCTAGAAAAACACTTGCAAGAACCCAAAGAGACACAAACAAGGAATTGCAACACATACCAGGATACTCCATTTTGGTGAAAACCTTGAAATAACATAAATGCCCATCAAAAGAGGATGGAATAGGGATTGACAAGGGCACAACCATTCAATAGAGTTGTGTTCCATTAAAAAGGAAGGGCAGGCCCGGCCGAGAGGCGCGTTGGTTAAGAGCTGGCTTGGGACCCAGCTCTGAACAGCAGGGCCCTGGTTTGGATCCCACACGAGGGCCAGTGACACTGCCCTCTACAGCTAAGATGGTGAACAACAGCTCAACCTGGAACTGGGCTGCCGTGAGTTGCCGGCGACAGCATCGGCTGCAGCCCCTGCTGCAGTGGGGCTGCCATAAGCTACCGTGTGTGGCTGGCAGCCAGAGTGAGCAGCCGGCAGCCAGTGTGAGCTGCCAAGAGCCGCCGTGAGCAGCTGTCCAGAGGCCAGCGACCCATCTGCCTCACCCGGGAATAGCGCAATGATAATACCAACATGGGCCAGTGAAGCGATGTCTTCCACAACTAGACTGAAGAACAAAAGGACAGCAACTTGTCTGTTCCCCTTCTCCCGATTCCCCAGCGCTGTTTCCTTCCCCCAATTCCCCAATAAAATCTTTAAAAAATAATAATTAAAAAATAAATAAAATAAAATAAAATAAAAAGGAAGGGCAGACACCATTTGAGGGAGGACATTAAGTAAAGGAGGGGAAAGCAAATTGTAGGAAAATACAAAAATATATAGTTTGTAAACAATCTAAAAAACAAATATTGAACTTGAAATAATGTGTATGCTGAAATGTTTAGGGGTGAAGGGTACTGATATCTGCAACTTAATTGAAATGCATCAAAAAATAAGATAATTGGGCCGGCCTAATGGCTCAACTGGTTAAGACCTCGCTTGGGAGCACCAGCTCTGAGCAGCAGGGCTGCGGTTTGGATCCCACATTGAGGGCCAGTGACGCTGTGCCCTCTACAGCTAAGATGATGAACAACAGCTCAACCTGGAGCTGGGCTGCTGTGAGTCACTGGCGAAGGCGTAGGCTGCAGCGGGGCTGCAGTGGGCTGTCATGAGCTACTGTGAGTGGCTGGCAGCCAGCATGAGTGGCCGGCAGCCAGAGAGAGCTGCCATGAGCCACGGTGAGTGCCCGACCAATGACCGGGGACTGATTGCCTCACCTGGGAAGAGCGCAATGATCATACCAACATAGGCCAGTGAAGCGATGTCCTCCACAACTAGACTGAAGAACAAAACAGCAATTTGTCTATCTGTCTGTTCCCCTTCCCCGACTCCCTAACGCTGTTCCCCTCCCCCATTCTCCAATAAAAATCTTTTAAGGGCCGGCCGAGTGGCGCGTTGTTTAAGAGCTGGCTTGGTACGCCAGAGGGTCCCGGTTCGGATCCCACATATGAGGGCCAGTGACACTGCCCT